TTTTTTTTTTTGTTATGTTATGGGTACTGCTGAATTATTTCTTTCTTCACTTTTTGCCTGAAAAATTTTTAATATTTTTAAACTCCAAAAATTATTTTGTTCGATTTTTAGCTTATTCTATGAAAAAAATCCACAAAAATCGCTACTCAGTTAAAATCTTGCTGTTTTTCAGGATGCGTGCATATGTGAGACAGGATGAATTAAAAACACTGTATTTCGATGATCGTATACCGTCGGTGCAGGAGGCATTTCGTGGCATAGATGAGCATCTGGTGCTTGTGTATCACATTGTACAGAAACGAATACCAGCTTCATTCGGGCCAAAAAAGAATAATGATCAGAAAGATGGCAAAAATAATGGTAAAAAACTTTTTTCACTGCACCAGCTATTGCGCAACAGTTCAAAAAATTCATATTCACTAAGCACTCCGAGATTAATTTTGCGCAGATCCAACTTTTACTGTGGACATCGTATCCATGCTGGGTACTGTATCTACTGCTTTATGACCAGGTTTGTGCAGACCTGCCTCCTACTGTGGGTATCGTATTCACACGGGGTACTGTATCTACCGCTCCGAAGTTAGATTGCACAGATCCAGTTCCTACTGTGGATATCGTATTCGCACTGAGTACTGTATCTACTGCTTCGAGATTAGGTTTGTGCAGATCTGCCTTCTACTGTGGATATCGTATCCACGCGGAGTACTGTATCTTCCGATTTGACAATAGGTTCGTACAGATCTAGTTATCACGGTGGATATCGTATTCGCAATGAGTGTTGTTCCTGCCGTTTTGAGATTAGGTTTGCGCTGACCGAACTGTTCCTGTGGATATCGTATTCACACGGGATACTGTATCTGTTTCTCTGAGACTAGGTTTGCGCAGATCTGGGCCCTACTGTGGATATCTTATTCATATGGGGTACTGTACCTATCGCTCTGAGATCAAGTTTGCGCAGATCTGGGCCTTACTGTTAATATCGTATTTGCACTGAATGCTCTATCTGCCACTCTGAGATTAGATTAGCGCAGATTTGTCTCTTACATGGTGAATATGACATACATTCATCCTTATCCTCAAGTATCTTCATTTTGGGATGGTAGAGGCCGAGTTTTAGGAATTTTCTGTTAACTCTTTTCGGATATGTGTGTGAATGAGGGAATATCCTATGTTTTGAGGATTATCTCGCTTCGAAAGCATTTTCATGTGCGTTGCGACTTTAGTTACAAGATTGAGGAGAGGCTTTGCAGCATTAGTGCCCCTTCGCTCCTCTCCCCTTGCCCCCTTGTATCCGCTAATACCCGACAATGCCTAGTCTGTTGCAGCTCCAAAATCACGATGAGGGAATGCCTGGGTTAAAATCTGTACAAGAATTTGCATTTACCATAATACTAAGATCAAAGCTTTTTTTCTTCCCGCAAACATAACTGATGAAGTTTAATGCACGAAATTCACAGATACTGCCAAACGCGATGCACCGGCGAAGCAACAACCACCGGCTGACGATATTTTCGGTGAACCGGTGCCCGAATTTGCAAGAGTCGAACGAAATACTCCTACGGGTCATCCGCCAAGACGGGGCAGAAAAAGGCCGAGAGGGAATTTCAGAAGAGGCGCCAGAGCTTATAACCCGAAGCGTTCGAGATTCGTGGATTTCGATGCGCCATCCTCTCAGGGCTTATGAAATAAATTGTTGTACAAGTGATAGGCAGCTGCCATTTATAATTTTTAATTTGTTCTTAAAAATTCATAAAATGTTTTTATTAAAAATTTCTTTGTTGGTGTGTTTTTTATGCTCGGCCTACTACAGATTCAGTGTCTCCCGATTTGACCTAAATCTGAGTTATTTGACCAAAGCGGTTACTGATGTGTTCAACTTTCTGTGTTTGTATTAGGTTGTTGGATGATGAAAAAACATACATCACTGTTTTAGCGCGTTTTTTAAAAAATTCCAAGGAAATTGAGCCGAATTCTGCTTGAATCATTCAGTTGTGATTTCTCAATTGAGTGGAATAGTAGAATAGAAGGATTGGTCGTAAGTGTCATATGTGCCGGCGGGAATTTTACGATTTACTTAGTCTGTGTTTCATCCCTTAGCTGTAAACACTGACCGAGCAATGTAGGAAAATTAACTGACGGGAGCGAAAGCTCTCCACATTCCCGAGAGCTTTTAGAAATCTCGCAGATGTGCTGATGTGTGTGAGATGACTTTTGCTGTTGGCACGTTTATAAAAACTTTGTTGACTTACTTGAATACTGTATGTCATTGATGTTCGTTATCACGCCA